CCGTTACCAACTCTCCACCACACCTTAAGTGTGTATCATCTAACCCTGGACGACCGGACAACTCGCCCTCTGCACTGTCTTACCATTACCCCTAGAACAAGATTCCCTAAGTCTATTAACATCCAGGTCCCCATCACTCCTGGGTAGACAGAGGCAAACGGTGTAAAGAAACTTGGAGCATAGTTTCATCCTGCCCGGGGATCGAACCAGGTCCGCTCGCTTGCCAGGCGAGCATGCTGACCATACACCACAGGTCGCCTTACACACACACACACACACATGTTGTTTTGAGATAGAGTAAAAGATTATCATATAATGTCATATATTATCATACATTGTCGTATAGTGTCATATATTATCATACATTATCATCCGTTATCATACATTATCGAATATTATCACTTAACCATGTATCAGAACACAACGATTGATGTAAATATTTGTTTGTGGTTTCAGTACAGTGACAGGTGGTGCATCAAGGACTGCTGACACAAGGTGAGTCACTTTAATGTTCATGTGTTAAGTTATGTTAGTATATGACAACTGTACCAGATGTGTTCCTGGACAGTGTCATCTCTTGTAGGTGTACTGTATAGACACTGTTCAACATTACTTCACTATCTCATACTGTACACGTTATTATACACCTGGGGGCTGTTAATTAAGACGTTATGTGTGTGTGTGTGTGTGTGTGTGTGTGTGTGTGTGTGTGTGTGTGTGTGTTGTAAGTGGATGACAGAGAAGCAGTAAATGAAGAAGGAGAGAGAGCGAGCAGAACCATATTGACTCAGTAAGTCGTGTACACACTCGCCTCGGAACTAAATGGTGATGACTTAAGCTGGCGTAGCGAGGTCTAATGTGACCTTATCGGGCTAACCTAACCTAAGCAACCTAACCTAATCCAACCTAATCCAACCTAACCTAATCCAACCTAACCTAACCCACCAACCTAACCTAACCTACTCTGAATTAACCAACTATCGTAATCAAAACAAGATTTATATCCAAATCTCAATATTAATAATAAATAGTAATAATAATAAAACCGATAGAAATAACGATAGTAATTATAACAACAACTAAACCACCACCAACAACAAGGCGACATGCAGCCAAACGACCATAATAAGTAGTAGTAGTAAGTCATCACGTGGCGGGAGGAGAAGTCATCACGTGTCAGGAGGAGGAAGTCATCACGTGGCGGGAGGGGCAGGGAGAATCATCACATGGCGGGAGGAGAATCATCACGTGTCAGGAGGGAGGAAGTCATCACGTGTCAGGGAGGAGAAGTCATCACGTGGCGGGAGGGGCGGGAGGAAGTCATCACATGGCGGGAGGGAGGAAGTCATCACGTCAGGGAGGAGGAAGTCATCACGTGTCAGGGAGGAGAAGTCATCGTGGCGGGAGGGCGAGGAGAGTCATCACATGGCGGGAGGAGAGTCATCACGTGTCAGGGGGGGCGAGTGAGGAGTGAGGGAGATCATCACGTGGGGGGAGGAGTCATCATGGCGGGAGGGAGTCATCACGTGTCAGGGGGCGAGGAGGAGTGAGGAGGTGAGGGAGGAAGTCATCACGTGTCAGGAGGGGGCAGGGAGAGGAGTGAGGTGGGAGGAAGTCTGCCTACTCCCATCCCGCAGCAGCAGTGTTAGGAAGGAGGTGAATGGTGAGTGAGGTGACTGGTGGTGAGTGACTGGTGAGGAGTGACTGTGGTGAGGAGTGACTGGTGGTGGTGACTGGTGAGGTGACTGGTGGAGTGACTGGTGATGGTGACTGGTGGGGGTGACTGTGGTGGTGGTGACTGTGGTGGTGACTGGTGGGGTGACTGGTGAGGTGGTGACTGGTGAGTGGTGACTGGTGAGGGTGGCTGGTGAGTGAGTGACTGGTGGGTGGTGACTGGTGAGGTGACTGTGGTGGTGGTGACTGGTGAGGTGACTGTGGTGAGGGAGTGACTGGTGGTGGTGACTGGTGGGGGGGCTGGAGGTGACTGTGGAGTCTGGTGGTGAGACTGGTGAGTGGTGACTGGTGAGGTGACTGTGGTGAGGAGTGACTGGTGGGTGGTGGCTGGTGGGGGTGGCTGGTGAGGGTGACTGGTGGGGAGTGACTGTGGTGGTGGTGACTGGTGGTGGTGACTGGTGGGGGTGACTGGTGGAGTGACTGGTGGGGGTGACTGGTGAGTGACTGTGGTGAGGGGTGACTGGTGGTGGTGACTGGTGGGGTGACTGGTGGGGTGACTGGTGAGGGGTGTGGTGAGTGCTGGTGGTGGTGACTGGTGAGGTGACTGGTGAGGTGACTGGTGAGGGGTGACTGGTGAGGTGACTGGTGAGGAGTGACTGGTGAGGTGACTGGTGAGGTGACTGGTGGTGGTGTGTGGTGAGTGGTGACTGGTGAGGTGACTGTGGTGAGGGTGACTGGTGGGGGTGACTGGTGAGGTGACTGGTGGGGGTGACTGGTGAGTGAGTGACTACTATTACTAATTTTTTTTAAAGTGGTCTCCAGCCTCCCCTTGTAGCCACACCTTCCCATTTTATTGGTTTAAAATTAAATATCCTAATACAATGCTACCCTGGCTGGTCTATGTGGCATTCAGTGACTGTTGCCTCATAGTCAATATCTGCAACCGTTGTCTGCTTTGAGGCCGGCGATATCGTTCCCCTGAGGCAGAGCGCGACCTAAGCAGAGAGAAGGACAGTCGACGTTTCAACCAGACTGTAACGTGGCTTCTGGGCTGCTGCTTCTGCTCAGACAACACCTCCGCGAGTCTTGCATATAAGCGTCTTGAACTTGGTCCCATCCACCAGAGGTTGTGAACGCCAGAGGAGTGAAGCTGCCTTGATCCACATTCTGAATTCTTTCCCCGTATAGCCTATTCTTGTCGTTCTCGTTCCTTCTGTGTGGAACCTCAAGAGACAAGTTACGGTGACATGTGGCCATGGGGTCGAATATCCTAACATCAAAAAAAGGCTCGCTGTCCCCGCGTCCAGAACTCTCGAGCGCTGACGTCCACACGGGCTTCGTTAGATGTGTTGGAAGTCCTGTGACGGAGGTTCCCACCATCCAACGAAAGGAGGGGCGGTTCCACCATGACGTCGTGGCAGATTTCCTTCAGTAAATTTGCTGTTAGATCCCTTACTTCGTCATGCCTCATGCATACAAGCCCCCTTACTTACACACAATGGCGTGGTCAATGTCATAAGATGAGCCACACACAGCATTGGGAGGGTAGACCTTCTACTGGCCTACCGTACCTTACAGCAATGGCATCTGTGAATTCTTGTTTATTAAGACTGAAACCTTTTGTCCTTATCGGTAACGTTGTTAGTCAGCTCGAGGCGTCCACCTCCTGTGCTATAGCTACTTTTGTCAAGTTCTCTGGCAATTGCTGCATCAGCTTTGCAGTTTATCACTTTGGGTGCTGCCGTTCTGTCATAATGGACCGTCGAATCTTGTTTAATTCGTTGGTGTCCACTTCACTTACGGTGTGCTCAGTGAGGGCTACCGTGAGCGTGACAGAGTTCTGATGGTCTGTGGTGGCAAGCTCCACTGGATTAGTCAGTCCCATTCCTCGCAGTCTCAGTGGTAGTACAAGGAGTGACCTTTCTGTTGGGGGTAAATAAGGGATTTTCACTTGTGTTGGGATAAAAGTGACCTTGATGGCTTCTTCCAGAGGGTGGAGGAGGGGTCCGATATCAGGCATAGTGCGCCGCATCAGGTAGTTCCAGTTATGCTTGACTCCATGGGTAAATACCACAAACGCCGAGTGTGGCTCTTGTTTTAGCAATACCAGCCAGAGCTTGGATTTGTTAGAAATACCCTTTACCTTTCCTATCACTTATTCGGTCTTGAAACCATTCGCGCCGATTGTCGTACCTAGGTATCTGGCCCTCCTTTGTTATGTTGACCTCACTACTACACAACTACTGCTGCTATAGTAATAAAGACAAACTATTATACATATATTATTCACCTCACCTACATCATTATTATCAATATTTTCAGTAAAGGTCTCCGCATTATGTTGCACTGCACGTTGATGTGTTGCAACCTGGTAGAGTTATTGCAACACTATAGACAGACTATTACTGTAGGTGTGTTGGTGTCTTTTGTATGTTTGTTAGTACACCTTTTATACACATACACACACATACACATACACACACACACACACACATATACAAGGTTTCAACTGCTGTCATCAAGAGTTTAAACCATCCTCTTGAAATTAGTGTTGTGAGAAGAGGTGAGAAGTGGGAGGTGAGGGGGTGTGGTGGGTGAGAAGGGGTGAAAGGAAGATCTACGTGGGGACGAGGTGGACTGGGAGCAGGGTTCTATGAGGAGGGAGTCAGGCGTGGTGGGGAGAGTGTAGAGGTAGGAGGAGGATGATGAGGTGGTGGAGGAGATGATGAGGAGGAGTGGTGGAGGAGAGAGGCAGGCAGTAGGCAGCAGCCAGTGGTAGCGGCACCGTCGTCGCGTCAGGACTGTCCGTGTTGGCGCCTCGTCTCCCTCACCAGCCTCACACTCCACCACCACTCTCCTCCTCCTCCTCCTCTCTCTCTCTCACATGATGCCACCACCTCCTCAATAGGTCATGAGACTCCCGGGTAATATGTCGTGTCCCCCACTGGGTCTTCGTCAGTGTATTTGACTTGATCACTCTCCTGAAGACGTCGTCGTGAGGAAAAAGTTTAATTATATCTCAAAAGTTTATATATTTTTGAAAGTATTATTATGATCCTTGGTTCAAAAGTTGATAATTAGCCAACAACACAAACAAGGTATTTGTGAAGGTGGTGGTGAGGTCGTTATGAACCGATAGGGTCGTGTCTGTCGGGTCGTGGTGGTCGTCCGTGTGTCTGTCAACAAGTTGTACTCGTCCACACAACCGAGTCAGATGAGGAGCAAAGTTTTAATGTGTAGCAGAAGTGGTTAACTGTGGTGCTGTACCGGACCTGGACCAGTAGTGTGGACCAGTGGATAGCGTGAACCAGTGTACCGGGACCAAGCAGCGTGAACCAGTGTACCGGGACCTGAGGACCAGTGAGGTGGACCAGTGTACAGGACCAACAGCGTGAACCAGTGTACCGGGACCTGAGGACCAGTAGTGTGGACCAGTGTACCGGGACTCTGCAGCGTGGACCAGTGTACCGGGTCACTGTAGCGGGGTCAGGGAGGGATGGCGTGGACCCCGATACTGCCACTCATCATGGCCTCCAGCCTTACGGGTGAGTCGCCTCCTTCACCTCTCTCTCCCTCACCACCTCATTGCCCTCCTCCCCCACCTTTCATTTCCCTCCCTCCCCTCACCCCTCTCCCCCTCCCCTCTCCCTCCCCTCACCCCTCTCCCTCCCTCCCCTCACCCCTCCCTCTCCCCCACCTCCCTCACCCTCCCCCCTCCTCTCCCCGACCAAACTATGCTAAATTGATTACAATGACTGTAGCCTCGAGTACAGTTTAACTTATTGATGCGATGGCGTAACCCGCCTGATTATAATCTAACTGTACTCAATAGTTTAAGTCATCGTACTCAAGAGGTTAAACCATCGTACTCAAGAGGTTAAACCATCGTACTCAAAAGTTAAACCACCGTACTCAGAAGGTTAAACCATCGTACTCAAGAGGTTAAACCACCGTACTCAAGAGGTTAAACCACCGTACTCAAGAGGTTAAACCACCGTACTCAAGAGGTTAAACCATCGTACTCAAGAGGTTAAACCACCGTACTCAAGAGGTTAAACCATCGTACTCAAGAGCTCAAACTCGGAACTGTCGTGTAAAGAACTTTGTAAATGTGTATCGTAATATAATTGTCATCTGTTATCGTAGGTCAGAGGTGTAGGTCAGAGGTGTAGGTCAGAGGTGTAGGTCAGTGGTGTAGGTCAGTGGTGTAGGTCAGAGGTGTAGGTTAGTGGTGTAGGTCAATGAGAGTCAGTGGTGTGGAGTTAGTGGTGTGGGTCAGGGTGGAGTCAGTGGTGTAGGTCAGTGGTGTAGGTCAGAGGTGTGGAGTCAGTGGTGTGGGTCAATGGTCAGTGGTGTGGGTTAGTGGTGTGGGTCAGAGGTGTAGGTCAGTGGTGTGGGTCAGTGGTGTAGGTCAGAGGTGTGGGTCAGGGTGTAGGTCAGGGTGTGGAGGTCAGTGGTGTGGGTCAGTGGTGTGGGTCAGAGGTGTAGGTCAGTGGTGTGGGTCAATGGGAGGTCAGAGGTGTAGGTCAGTTGGGCAGGTCAGTGGTGTAGGTCAGTGGTGTAGGTCAGTGGTGTGGAGTCAGGGGTGTGGGTCAGTGGTGTGGAGTGTGGGGTCAAGTGTGGAGGTCAGTGGTGTGGGTCAGAGTCAGTGGTGTGGTCAGGTCAGGTGTAGGTCAGGGTGGAGGTCAGTGGTGTGGGTCAGTGGTGTTAGGTCAGTGGTGTGAGGTCAAGTGTGGGTCAGGTGTAGGTCCTGCACCATTCTTTCTCCCCTCAGTAAAAAATAACGTTTTAATTCTATACATTTGACCTCATTATGGAAGTGGGGGTGGGGTGGGGTGGGAGGTGAGAGGTGAGAGAGGGGGTGAGGGGGTGGGGTGAGGGGGGAGGGAGAATAATATGCAGGTATATCAGTATATCAGGTGATATAATATCCACCAGGTACATACAGTATAGGTCTTGGTATACTTATAATCTTATGGCTAATGGTAAACCTTCTTCTCCCATTTCCTTCCTCTCTCCTCTCCTGCTCTTCCTTCTCCTCTTCCTCCTCTGCTCTTCCTTCTCCTCCCCTCCTCTCCCCTCCCCTCCTCCCCCTTCCTCCTCCCCCCCTCTCCCCTCCTCTTCCTCCTCCCCTCCTCTTCCTCCTCCCCTCCTTCCTCCTCCCCCTCCTCTTCCTCCTCCCCCTCTCCCCTCCTCCCCCTCCTCCTTTTTTTCTTCCTCTCCCCCCCCTCCTCCTCCCTCCCTCCCCTCCTCCTCCCCCTCCCCTCCTCCTCTCCCCCTCTTCTCCCTCCTCCTCCTCCTCCTCCTCCTCCTTATTTAGCTGTCTCCTTACCTCTTGTTTTTGTGCCACAACACGACACTGAAATAAGTCGGGCTAAATATTGGTTAGATAACGAAGGTGATTCAGTCTTGGCCCCATATCTACTCGGCCTGCTCTATAACTAACTTGACCTGACGTGACCTATTTTAGCAACCTGATCCTGTCCTATCCTAACTGCCTGTCCCAACCCTACTTGACGACCTGACTGACCTATCCCAACCTAACCTTGATGACCTCACCTATTCTAACGCCTGATCTATCCTAATATAATGTTACTTATGTCATGATAACGTGACCTATCCTAACCTAACCTAACTTCTAATCTATCTAACATAACGTGACTGACCTAACTAACCTAACTAACTTAACCTAATGTGACCTGACCCTAACCTAACCTCTCTTCTATCCTAACATAGCGTGACCTGACCTACCTAACTCTATAACTAAATCAGGCCTGGCCCAACCTAGAACCAACCTACTAAGCCTAGCTAACTAACCTTCCTAACCATGTGACCTGACCTGTTCTAACCCTATCAGAACCAGCCTAACCTCCTTGACCTATAAGACCTGGCCTAACCAGGCCAGCCCAAACCAGCCTGGGGCCACTAGTAATGGGGCCCGCTACTACTGGGGCCCACTAGTACTGGGGCCCACTACTACTGAACACACGTACTGGGGCCTAGTAATGGGGCCCACTGTACTGGGGCCCGTCCCCAGGGCCTAGTACTGGGGCCCACTAGTACTGGGGCCCACTAGTGCTGGGCCACTAGTACTGGGGCCTCAGTACTGGGGCCCACTAGTCACTGGGGCCCACTAGTAATGGGGCCCACTAGTACTGGGGCCCACGTGCCTGGTGCACTAGTACTGGGGCCTTGGGCCACTTACTGAGGCCACTAGTACTGGGGCCCACTGGTGCTGGGCCCTGGTACTGGGGCCACTGGTGCTGGGGCCCACTAGTACTGGGCCACTGGTACTGAGGCCTAGTGCTGAGGCCCACACTGGTGCTGAGGCCCACTAGTGCACTGTGGGCCCCACTAGTGCTGGGCCCACTGGTGCTGAGGCCCACTGTACTGGGGGCCCACTAGCGCAGGGCCCACTAGTACTGGGGCCCACTAGTACTGGGGCCACTGAGTGCTGGGGGCCACTAGTATAGGGCCCACTGATTACTGAGGCCACCTGGTGCTGAGGCCCACTAGTTACTGGGGCCCACTGGGCAGGGGCCCCTAGTACTGGAGGCCCCCTAATGCTGGGGCCCACTAGTACTGGGGCCACTAGTACTGGGGCCCACTAGTGCTGAGGCCCACTGTTCTGGGCCCACTAGTGCTGGGCCCCACTAGTACTCCAGGAGATTGTGGGGCCTAGTACTGGGGCCCATGCTGGGCCCACTAGTACTGGGGCCCCCTAGTACTGGGGCCCACTGGTACTGGGGCCCACTAGTACTGGGGCCACTAGTACTGGGGCCCACTAGTACTGAGGCCCACTAGTACTGGGCCCACTAGTGCTGGGGCCCACTAGTACTGGGGCCCCTGGTACTGGGGCCCACTAGTACTGGGGCCACTGGTACTGGGGCCACACTAGTACTGAGCCCCACTATACTGGCCCTGGTACTGAGCCCACTAGTGCTGGGGCCCACTAATTGAGGCCCACTAGTATGAGGCCCACTAGTATGGGGCCCACTGGTGTGAGCCCAGTGCTGGGGCCCACTAGTACTGGGGCCCCTAGTACTGAGACACAGTACTGGGCCCCCTAGTACTGGGGCCCCTGTGCTAGAGCCCTGTATAGGCCCTGTACAAGGCCCACTAGTACTGGGGCCCACTAGTACTGGGGCCCACTAGTACTGGGGCCCACTAGTACTGGGGCCCTCATACTATAACCAACAGTTGTATCAATAACACTAAACCGTTTCTTTGATTGTAGGCGCCCACAGTTTGCCTCCCTGACGCCGCTCACACCGCCGCCCACGCAACCCACACTGTTCCACTAGGCCGCACACCGCCCTTCCCTCGGCCGCCCACGCTGCCACCTGCCGCCCTGCAGCTCCGTCGTGCTTCCCCGATGCCTGCCACCGCCCGGCACTGCGGCTCCGTCCCTGCCTTGACGCCGCAGCCTGCCACTCCACATGAATCCGTCCACCTGCCCTACCGCCCGACGCCCACTGCCCAGCTCCGTCACTACCTATCCCCGACGCCGCCCACATCCTGCCCGCCGCCCTGCCGCGAGTCTGTCACACCTGCCGCCTGCCGCCCGACGCCACTGCCCGCGACTCCGTCCAGCTATCGTGCCCGCCCACATTACACCACGCCGCCCACTGCCCTGAGTCCAATCACGCCATGCTGCCGCCCACACTGCATTGCGTGACAACACTATCCACACTGTCTGGCCTGCCCAACAACACTGCCCACTGCCAATGCCCGACAACGCTGCCTGTCTGGCCCACACTGCAACAACACTGCCCTGCCAATACTTCACAACGCTGCCCACATTGCCTGACAACACTGCCACCACTGTGTCAATACCCCCACACTACCTGACAATACTGCCACAATGCCTATAACCTGCCCACTGCCTGTACACCCTGTCTAACCTGCCACACTGCCCAGCCCTGGCCACAGCCACCACTGTCTGTGCCTGCCACTGCAACAACATTACCTGCCTGCCTGACAACACTGCTGCCAGTGCCTGACAATTTTACCACCAGTGCCTGTTACACTGCCACCATGCCTAACAACACTGGCCCACACACTGCCCTCATCCTTTGCCATCTGCCCCTGCACTGCCTGTCACCTGCCACCACTGTTTGTCTACTCTCACACTGCCCCTGTGCCACCAGTGCCTGCCTGCCCCACTGCTGTGCCTGCCACCACTGCCTAACCTTGCCCTGCCTCATTGCCTGGCCGCCACTGCCTGTACACTGCCACTGTTTGTCTATATCTCCACCACTGCCCTTGACACTGCAGTGCCTGCCCTGCCCCACTGCCCACACTGCCTGGCCACCTGCAATACTGCCCACAGCCACTGCCTGGCCCTGCCCTGCCTGGCCACACCCTGCCACACTGGCCCTGCTAGCCCTATGTGTGTGGGTCTACAGTGAGTCTTGTTTTGACTAACAGACATTTCTCCCACATACAGTATAGTTTTCCTCGTCCTGTGTGTGTGTGTGTGTGTGTGTGTGTGTGTGTGTGTGTTTATATCTCTATCAGTGATATATTGTATAAATTATCAGTA